TCACCTGGCACTGAGAGCAGATATGGAAACACTGATTTGGAGAATGGAGAGCACTCTTGATGACATGTTCTTCTGTGTATTATAGTGTCCTGGCTGTCACGTTTAAGAAAGAATTGATGCCCAAGAGCCAGAATTTTAGTTTCGCTCCTGATTTAAACTGTCCAGCTTTTTATATAACGGGGCTTAAACCCAGCTGCTGATGTTCCCACAATATGGTCTCTAGGATTTGCTCATAGGTGAGGTTGGCTCTGTCTGCAGTTCTCTGTCTAGTGGTTTGCAATAGTCAATTGTCTTCTGTACAACAGCACTACACCTACGTAGACACTAGAGGGCGATGTTGAGGGAAAGATTGCAGTGCTCTCGGTGACCACATGATGTCGCTGTTACACACATGATGGCCATAGGAAATCCCTGCAGTTGTAGGGCGTCCAGCATGTAATAGCAGGAGATGTTTATGCCGGGTGTGCTCAGAGTACAAGAAAGACATTAATATGATCAGACAAGAGCGTCATACACACAGGATTTCAGGGAGAAGAGGACAGAATAAGAGAGAGGAGAGGAAAGAGGGGGGAGGGGAGAGCAGGGGGTAGAAGAAAGGGAGGAGAGAAGAGAGGGGATGGAAGGGAAGAGAGGAGGAAGGAAAGGGAGTAGGGAAAAGAGGAGAATGGGAGAGGGGATAGCACAGGGGGAAGAAGAAGACATGGAGGATAGGACATAAGAGAGAAGAAGAGATAGCACAGGGAAAGAAAAAGACATGGAGGATAGGACATAAGAGAGGAGAAGAGATAGCACAGGGAAAGAAGAAGACATGGAGGATAGGACATAAGAGAGGAGAAGAGATAGCACAGGGGAAGAAGAAGACATGGAGGATAGGACATAAGAGAGGAGAAGAGATAGCACAGGGAAAGAAGAAGACATGGAGGATAGGACATAAGAGAGGAGAAGAGATAGCACAGGGAAAGAAGAAGACATGGAGGATAGGATATAAGAGAGGAGAAGAGATAGCACAGGGAAAGAAGAAGACATGGAGGATAGGACATAAGAGAGGAGAAGAGATAGCACAGGGGAAGAAGAAGACATGGAGGATAGGACATAAGAGAGGAGAAGAGATAGCACAGGGAAAGAAGAAGACATGGAGGATAGGACATAAGAGAGGAGAAGAGATAGCACAGGGGAAGAAGAAGACATGGAGGATAGGACATAAGAGAGGAGAAGAGATAGCACAGGGAAAGAAGAAGACATGGAGGATAGGACATAAGAGAGGAGAAGAGATAGCACAGGGGAAGAAGAAGACATGGAGGATAGGACATAAGAGAGGAGAAGAGATAGCACAGGGGAAGAAGAAGACATGGAGGATAGGACATAAGAGAGGAGAAGAGATAGAGGGGAGAGGAGAGAAGAGGAAATGGAAAGGGAGGATAGGATAGGAAAAGAGACAGGAGAGGAAAAGGGAAGGTGGGAGAGGCGAGAGGAGGAGGCAGCGGAGAAAAGAAAGTTAATAAGGAAAAGAAGATGAGAGGTGAAAGGAGAGGTGAGGGAGAAGATGAGGGGGAGAGAGAATGTAGCTGAGAGGGAGGAGGAGGAGAGAGGGAGATGGAAAAGGGTGGAGGGAGAAGGAGGAGGGGAGAGGAGAAAGGAAGAGTGAGAAGCAGAGTAGAGGAGAAGGAGAGGAGGAGGGGAGAGGAGAGAGAGAAGAAGAGGAAGAGTAAGAAAAAGAGGAGAGGGGGAGAAGAGGAAGAGGGGAGAGGAGAGGGAGAAGGAGAGGAATAGGGGAGGGGACAAGTAGAAGAAGAGGGGAGAGAAGGAGGAGGGGAGAGGAAAAGGAGAGGGGAGAGGGAGAAGCAGAGGAAGAGGGGAGAGGAGAGGGAGAAGGAGAGGAATAGGGGAGGGGACAAGTAGAAGAAGAGGGGAGAGAAAGAAAGGAGAGGAGAGGGAGAAGGGAAGGAAGAGGAGAAGGGGAGGGAGAAGGAGAGGTGGAGAAAGGGAGGAGAGGAAGAAGGGAGAGGAGTGGGAGAAGCAGAGAGTAGGAGGGAGAAGGAGAGGAAAGGAAAAGGACAGGAAGAGGGAAAGGGAGGAGAATGGAGAGGAAAGAAGGAGGAAGAAATTATATGTTGAGGGGAGAGGTGAGGAGAAAAGAGAAGACAAGAGGGGAGGGGAGGAGAGATGATGTTGGAGCAGATTTTACTTATAAAAGTAACATTTGCTCCTCGTTCCGTACTTGTCGCCGACCCCAATCACAGACACCAGACACAGCAATGTTTATAATAATATAATTTATTAAAATATCTGATTTATAATTATAAATCTATCTGCTCCTCTCTGCCCCCCTGAGTCTATCTGCTCCTCTCTGCCCCACTGAGTCTATCTGCTCCTCTCTGCCCCCCTGAGTCTATCTGCTCCTCTCTGCCCCACTGAGTCTATCTGCTCCTCTCTGCCCCCCTGAGTCTATCTGCTCCTCTGCTCACCTTTATTTCCATATTGTAAACATAATTATAATAGAATTGATATTTGCAGTTGAAGCCGCCTCCTCCCTTCCCCCGGTGTCATGCAGAACTCTCTCTTTATGTGTCCGGGGCTTGCACATGGATGGAGCCTTCTACTGTTACATTTCATCCATGACTGGAGGCCGAGTGATGCTTCAGTTTCATATTCCTCCCAGTTCTGTCTCTGCAGCCAGAGTCTATGGAAATGTTTGACAGGGGAAGGGGCTGGATTCCTCCCCTGGCGGAACGGACGGGGGAGGGGGCGGGTACAGCTGGCTCTGCCTCTAGATAGGCAGAGCCAGCTGTCACTCACGCAGCTGGGCGGATCCAGACATAATTGTCGGGATCCGCTCCAGGTGCAGTGTCTCAGTATACCGCGAGCTGTAGCTCCCTATATACTGAGCCTAGGGTGACGGGAGGACGCTAGTTTGTGTCCTCCCGTTACCCTAAGGAGAACTATGGGGAACAGCCCTAACCCCATAGTTCTCCTTTAAGGCAAAAGGTATTAAATAAGACAGAGCGACAATGAACTGTGCGTGCTCGTGCCGTTGAGTGGCCTGCTGTCCCTTTAAAGATTGCACATGATGATAAGAGGTAATGAAATAAATCACAATCAATATTTAATAATACAGAAACTGCTGAAATATGTCGGCGCCGGAACTCTCCGAGCCTATGAAGAGGTAAAATGATGACGGATACAATGTGATTAGTAATGGCGCTGATATTGCTGGTTTTTATGGCACCACCATATACTACACGCGTGTCGCGTTCTCCTAATATGTTGGTGTTATTATAGAGAATAAATCAGATACGTTTATCTTCATTTTACCTCTTTATAGTCTCCACTGTCCTTCATATAAAGATACATTGATGCAACTTAAAGGAGAACTATGAGGCGAGTGATTTCCTCTCATCCTCATAGTTCAAGCCGACGTGTGACAATGAGACTGTCACACGTCGGCTCAATAGATCGGGGAGGTGAGAGAACACATACCGTCGCTCGCTCACTTCTCGATCCTGTCACTGCAGAGAGAGGTGACTGTCACTCACGGCTCCCTGCAGGGATTCCCCCTCCCCTATCCGATCATCCAGCGCTGACTGGCGGAACGGACGGGGGAGGCGGCGGGTACAGCTGGCTCTGCCTGATCCACCGAGCCAGCTGTCAATCACGCTGCTCGGTGGATCTCGACAGTAATGTCGGGATCCGTCCCGGCTGCGGCGTCTCAGTATACCGCGAGCTGTAGCCCGCTATATGCTGAGCTTTGGGTGACGGGAGGACGCTAGTTTGTGTCCTCTCGTCACCCTTAGGAGAACTATGAGGGAAAATACTGACCCCATAGTTCTCCTTTAATGTGTGATGATAAATGCAGCATGTTGTGTTATCAATGTGGACCAATTCGCTATGTGCTTGGCCTGTAGGTGGCGCTGTGTGGCTCACTTTCACAGAGAAGCTCCACCTAGAGGGCAAAAGCCGGTACTACATGGCAACATTGTCACGCTGAGTTTTGAACAATGAATGTCGCAGAATACAATACTGATCCATAAGATGGAGAATAATAAAAAAAAAAAAAAGAAGCTGAGCACGATAATACTAAAATGCTGAATCCTTCCCAGGAAAGTATAAAACAGCAGCAGCAGCATGAAAAGAGAAGAAATTTGAAATGATTCAACCACGGAGACTTGTTTGAATGACGTGTCCTTGAAGTAAACCTGCCGAGAGTAAAACATGGAGGCCACCACGGCTCACCTTCCAGAGGCCATTGGCTGGCTGCCATGTGGATCCACTGAGCTGAGAGAAGAAGGCAGATAATGACACCCTGACTTTTTATTTTGGACCCTCTTGATTTGTATCTTTGGTTGGGGTCAGTGGGGTACCAGGGCAGCCAGACAACAACGAGTCAGTTATTCAATATCTGGA